TTGTAGTGGCCAGGGTAGTTTCCAGGGAAATTTTTAAGCAAGTAATCTTGGGAGATGGCAGGCAGAGATTAAAGGGGGAAGCAATCTAATATTTTTTTTTTTAAAAAAAGGGAAAGAAAAGTTAACTCTAAGTTAACACACTCCAGAGACCACTGGATGTATAATAATTTAGCGAAGGTGTACATAGCAGAGCTTTATTTGATGTTAATTCTGGTTATGATTCTTAGTTGTCAGGCTGCCTAATACTAACTGAACTGCCAAATTAGAACTCTGGCAGAAAAACAAAACAAACAAAAACAAAAATAGAAAAGAACTACTTTGATGGTCTGTTCATGAAAGAAAAATGTCTGCAAACAAATTAAGAACTTTTTACTGAGATCTGAAATCGAAACAATGAAATCATTCAACACTGTTAAATGACCCCAATGGTTAGTTTTTTGTGAGTGTGTATGTATGTATCAATTCATACATACACATTATATACTTTATTTCCTAACAAAAAGATTGAGGCAGTTCCGCTATATAGTTAGCCATAATATCCAAGATAATATCCAAAATAAAACAGTTCCTACTCAAGAAATTACAGGAACAAGAGACAAAAGACTATCATGAGGCTATCTAGTATAGTTCATATTTCCTGGTTGTAAGACTCAAAACACAGGAATTCTACTCCAAGAGATAATTTGCCTCTCAGTCTCCACACACAAAAAGTAGTCTGAACAAACAAAATATTTATGAAAACTTGCAAAGGAAGATCTAAAAGGAACTCAACAGTAGCATTCTGACCACCTCTGAAGACCACACACTACCATCATTATTCCTAACTATACCAAAGACAACAATCCAATATGTCCCAAGATGGAAATAGGGCTGTTATTATAGGGAAAACATTGGCTACAACTGCCGGAAAAGTTCATAATCTTAAACATAACTTAAAATTTAATCTGATAACTTATGCTCTTTGCCAGTCACAAAGGCATTTGACTGGACAGAATTTGAGCCATTTGTAAGATTTCAGTGATTGATCAATTGGAACAATATCAACCTTCCTGGTGAAGAAATTAGGACTCTGGATATAAAAAGCACCCTCCATTTTGGTTAACAGTAAAGTTCAAAGGAGAGAAACATTCTAATATATGCAGATGAAACATGGCTGAAGGGAGAGGACAACCAGCAAGTAGCACTGGGATACATGTCAAGAGAAGGGGAGGAAGAAGGAAATTCAGTTGATAAATAATATAAAGTATTCAGCAAAGTAAAGCACATGAAGGGAAAAAAATGGGCAATGAATTGATATGTTTAAACATCAAACCTTAGATCAGAGTAAGGGAAAAGATCATATGTTGCTGCTGTCCACAGATTTCTTCATTCTCTAAAGAGATAGCTGGGGGGATGACATAGAGGAAGCAAACTGGGAAACTGGAATATTCAGTTTTTAAAGCAAAGACTGTACACAAAGGCAAACTTTAAGTACACTGAAGATTGTCTTGTGTTACTTCATATCCCACCATCAACTCCTCCCATTCTTAGACCAGAAGGGTGGCAAATATAGAATAAATGCTCAAAGTATTTGGTAAAAAAACCCCAAAAACCAGAGACCTTAAAGGTATATATGGGCAGCTTTTTGAAGAGGTAGTGAAATCAACTGGATGTACATTTTCTTTTATTTGATTTCAACTAGCCGAAGACTAGACTGATTGTTTTTCACCTTCAAAGTCTTAGTCTCGATTAAACTGACAATAAAGGCACAAATAAGTGAAATTAAAATAATTTTAACAAAGGAAAAAATCTGACAACATTTAAAAGAGAAATGAATCAAGCAAAAACTGGATATGGTTTAAGGCAAAAAAAAAAAAAAAACCAACTCGATATTAAAGAATTTACAAATATGTACTTAGAATATAGAATAAGAAAAATTTGGCAGATTTCCTTCTGGCAAAGTGACAGGTCCTAAGACAGAAAGTAACCCCCATAAGACTCAGTACAAGTTGAGGGTCAGGACCACATCCTAGTCAAATTTTTATTACTCAACATCTATCACAGTGGCTAGGTAAACAACAGGTATCAATAAATGTTTATAGACTGAATGTACGTTATAATGTATAATCGGTATAACTGGTGTAAGTTCAAACCTAATTAGGATGAAAAGAGCACAATAAGTGGTGGTCTAAATCCAGTTGTATTTTCTTATCTTAACCAGTGACTGTAAAGACTTTTCAAACTTTTTTAAAAGCAATAAACCTCCCCCCGCTTTTTTTTACCCAAAAGAAGTCTTATGAAGAATTCCGGTACAGAATAAAAAAAAAAGCTGCCACTGGTTAGACCAAAGTCAGAACTCCACCAGCCTCCAAGCCCCTACCCCAGCCACTAGGTGTCTCTGTGGCATCCACTGGGAAAACCATCATTCATCTTAGAAATGTGATAGAAAGGAGGGTCAATCAGTTCTCAGGTTGTTAAGTACAGAATAAAAAAAAAAAGCTGCCACTGGTTAGACCAAAGTCAGAACTCCACCAGCCTCCAAGCCCCTACCCCAGCCACTAGGTGTCTCTGTGGCATCCACTGGTAAAACCATCATTCATCTTAGAAATGTGATAGAAAGGAGGGTCAATCAGTTCTCAGGTTGTTAAACTGAGAAAATTACCAGTACTATGAAGGATAAATCCTAAACAATGTTGGTCATTCTTTTAAATAAAGAGGAGACCCTATCACTTAGAAGAATAGAAGCCACCCCTATAAAGGAAACAACAACAAAATTAGGCCACAGTAGACAAAACATAATGCAAAAAAACAGTATCTCATTAAAAAGCACATATGACCATTAAACATATTCACACAAACATAATAACCACCATGATGAAGCCACCTGCTCAACAGGTAAAATTGCTGAATAGGTGTTTCCAAAGAGTTGAGTCCCAGTTTCACAATGTACACAAAAATCCCACCAGAATTGTAGAGATGTGCTCCACTACTGAAATGCCATATTTCTGCTTCACTTAACATTTCAATGCAAGAGTGACTGCCAGGACCTTCTATCACTTTTAAAGTTGTTCTCTGTCCCCTAACAGAACTGTTTCCGAACATCTCTGTAAGTTCTTAAGTAAAAACTTCCAAAGACAGACAGAAGCTCTAATGACTAGCTCGAGCAGGCCTGACAGTGGTAATACATTTAACTCTAATCACAGGATGAACAGCAGAAGTAATAATTAACAGGCAGCAGGAAGTCTGAAGCAAGAGGTCACTACGATAGTGAAAATTTGCACAAGAAAGGTTGTTAAGTGGTATTGACCTGGTGAAAATGAGGAATTTTTACAGCAAAGGTGTGAGGAAGAAAATATATTAGTGAGAATGACACAAAGCAGTCTACCACAAAATAAGGCCACCTTCAAAACATGATAAAGTGTAGCATCATTCTGCTCTTCAAGTATGGATTTGTACAGAGGTTTTTGTATAAAGCATTAATACCTAATAATGGGCTTCCTGTAGCATGAGCCTTTGCATTTGATGCTGTTCTCTTCAACTGGAATGCTTACCTCCCCTGGCTCATCACATGGCTTGCTCCTTCCATGGCAGGTCTTAGCTCAAGCCTCACTTCCTTAGAGAGGCCTTCCCCGATGTCCTACCTGAAGCGTCCCATCTGTTACTCTCTAGCACAGGACCCTGTTTATCTCCTTCGCAGACAAATAAGATGATTAAGGGTAGAGTAACTGCTGTCTCAGCAAAGGCAGGGACCGTAGCTGTCTTGTTCACCTTTAGCCAAAGGCTAAGAAAGTTCCTGGCACATAACAGGTGAACAATAAATATTTGTTGCACGAATAAAAAAATTACCATATCTAATTTACATGAACACATACACACAAATATAGGAAAATGGGGAGTATCCAGTAAAAAACAATCAAATGTTCAAAGTATAGAAAATGATACCTGTAGATACAGGTGAATATGGTTTCAAAGAACAAGTACCAAAGATATCTATCTTCAAAAATATGAAAATTTATGAAAAGGGGATCCAGAGTGGTTATTTTCCATTTCTACTGAGATGCAAATAAGAAACGTTTAAATTGTAATGAGTCAACATTAGACATAATAATTATCTGCTGCAGAATGGACTACCAACAAAGCTTCTGGAATCTCCTCTCACTGAAGAGCATAAAATATGGTCAACCACATACCCAGGATTACTTAAGAACAGCTCAGACTGCAGGTAATTATACACTTAAAAAAACCCTGCTAAACAATTTCTCCCAATTTTTAAAATTCTAAATTCATAATTATGTAAAATAACATTCAATTTATAAATTGAATACAACATACCTTAAAAACAAATGGCCCCTATCTGCTGATCATAGCTCAGCATCACTTTTCTAGGTATTCTGCAGAGGAATTACATTTACAAAAGGTCCATTTCATAATACAATACGGTAACTACATCAAACGAAATTACTCAAATCAATAAGCAGAAGGCCTTCTGTTGAAATATGTTAAAATACCTTTTTTTTAAAAAAGACCCCTTATATTTATAGATTAGCTTTAAAAAAGGATAAATATACTGAAGTAATTCTAGCATATCCCTGAAAATAATCATACTGCCACCTGTGCCTTTTTTACAACGTGGAAGAATAAATCAATAGACTGCTCAATAGGTTATACAAGTCAATTACTATTTGTTGAAATTTGGTTGTAAGACAAGGGGACTTACTCCACATGAATTTTTACTGTATCCCAGAATTAACTGGTACCAGTAGTTATCAGTGCAACGACAAGGGTACTTGAAAAAAAAATAATACAAATCTTTCCATTAACTTTTTCAAGTACCCTCATATTACTGGTGATAGTGTCACACACACTGTTTTGGTATCAGGACAAAAGTGGGAACAGATAAAAGAGGCTTGGAAAGATTTTTGGTAGGGTTTCCTCATAATGGGATTTAGCAGTAAATAAAGACAAAAAGAATGACTTTAAACCCCACTGAACACATTAAGGTCAAGGATTTCAAAAGTTAATCCACTTTTCCCCCAAGAGTTTATTTTTGGTAAAAGGCAGAAAAATTAGTTTTTCTACAAGGAAAATCTGCTTCTAAATGATAATTTGAAAATCTTGATATATATATTATATATTAAAAAAGACACACAAAAATAACAGAGAATTGGGAATAACAGATTAGGTACTATAACTTTATAAAGGCTTGCTAGATCAAGAAGCAGCACACACACACACACCTCATTTATGCAAACTAAAAATGCATATAAACAGCACAATACTGTGATACTGGATCATGATACATTACCTGTACACATAACTACTACTGTTATTAATAAACCTTTGGGACACTCAGTTTTATGCCCAGTAAGACATCATTAAGTCTTTAAAATCTTCTCTTCCTCCTTTATGGGAGGGTATTTCTAGACACTAATTTTCCCATCTAATATTCAAATATAGGAAACAGATTCCACAAGGTGCTTTAACTGATGAGACCTCAAGTGCTGTTTTCTTTCTTGAATTTTTGGATAGTAAACAGTCCGTGGGGACCACACACAAATACTATGACAGAAGAGTTGTTTTATTAAGTCAACTGATGGGACTTGACTGGTGATGAAGCCTTATGACATGCTTGAACAACGCACAGAAGGGGATCCCATCTGAGTTAATACTTTGTCCAACCACTGTAGAGGTCCATTCAGATGAAGTTCAATCCAGCAGGGAGTACTTGTTACTGTCTGCCTTCTGTTAAAAAGAATATAAGAAAATGACTGTAAAATTCAAAGAACATGGCTATGTTAAGATACATGCTTTAAAAATTTACAGAAATTCCTTTGATAAAATGTAGGCACTATTAATAATCAGGCCAGGAGGAGTAGTGTAAACCAGCACTGCCCCAAGCAAACTGAGACCTACAGTCATCCTACTTATTAAATCAACCACAGAAAAGAAAATACTCAAATATCAAATGGAGTCAAAATAGAACAGGGTTCGATTTTTTTTTTTTGGTGGCTAGCTGGTGTGGGGATCCGAACCCTTGAACTTGGTTTTATAAGGCAGCACTCTAACCAACTGAGCAAACAGGCCAGCCCCAAATTTAAAGTATACCAAAAGAAAACAGAACTTTGACTCAAGCTAATTTCTTACCACAGAATGTTAAAAGTTGAGTTCAACCTTCCTTGACAAAGCCAACGCACAACCCTTTTAGCAACATCACTCAGGCTTTTGATAAAAAACACTTCTTGTACTTCAACAAAAAGGGCTACTCTCTGGAAATCACAAATTATTCAGTGACGTCCTGTAACTTCCATGCACTGACTTTAATTCTGTCGTATTTGCTATATAGAATAAGTCAGTAAGTCTGCTTGCTTCTTCACTGTGACAGTCCTTCGAACATGAGATAAATCCATTATCAACTTCATCTCCAAGTGACACATGCCCAATATAATTTAAAACTGTATCTCTAAGGATGTGATTTTCTGTAGCAGATGGTGTCGGTGTCCTGCTATATACTCTTCAGATTTTTCAGAGTGCTCCTAGCCAAATTCCCAATTGCAGGTATCTGAATTTCTGTGCCTGATAAACCTCTACTATGCCCACACGTGCACCAGGCCAGAAGTGCCAGGAAATTAACATCCCCAGGAACAGCCCTCAACCAACAACACAGGAATTAACATTTAAATGGCAAGCTTCCTTTCTCCTGAGTGAGATAATTCTGTAGGTTCTTTATGGTTTCCCAGACTTCTCCCAGGGTGTAAACTCTAGTGACCTGCTCACTGTGGTAGATGCCTTAATAATGGTACTAGCTGCCTTCCCTCCCCTGCCTCACTTCTCCTTTGGGAAATAAATCTTAATCCAGGTCACTGAAAGGAAGTAGGTATAAGAAGTCTGCCACTACTCTTATTTGAGCACGAAACGTACCTGAAGTATTATCCACCCCCCTATACTTTATTTATTTACTTCAGTACTGATTCAATTAACTCAGACATATTTCTCAATTAAATATGAATTCTTCATACATCTAAATTCCCTGTTTACCGCATTTCCTAGTTTTTATGCAGACAATCAATCTGACATTAAAGAAACTAAAAAGTAGATTTAGAAACCTAACGATTAGCTGTACTTCCTTGGCTCCAGCATCATTAAAGACAAAGTTTCTGTAGGTACGTATGGTTCACAAATGGGTATCTGACATTTTGATTTGTAAATGTTACAGGAAATTACTTGATTATCTAAAGTCAGATGTACCTGGCTCCAAATACCCATAAAAACATACTGTATATTATGGCTTTTATACTTAAAGATTTTAATTCATCTCTGCAGTAAAGAACGGCAGAGTCCACAGTGAATGAAGAAGGCCAGTATCTCTCCAACAATTAAAACTGTTCTTAGAAGAAGACCTATGCATGGAATTCTCCCCACCCTCTATAGTTCCCTCTTAATTCCATTAAATTTCTACCATATTCTACACTATTCTAAACTTTTGAAGCAAAAGAGATGTCTAACCTAAAAAGTTATTATCAGATAATGTCATTTGAATATAATTTTACTATCAACTCAGGTCAATTCAAGTCCAGAAGGAAGAAAGGCATTCAGTATTCTTTAAAGGTATCACATTTCAAAAGGGTATAATGATCAAAACAAAAGAGAACTACAGCAAAATAAAATTAATTATTCTATCAATATAACTTAGGCAAAATAGTAACAAGTCTTTATTCTAGAATATAAATATAAGACATATAAAACATTTTTAAAGTATTCAACCAGCAGACCTAAAATCTCACCACCTCAAAAGTCAGATGTCTCACAAATCTTTTTAAAGATAGGGAATCAAGTCCAAATCAAATGAAATAAATTCTGAAGGGAACAAATTGCTGGATGAAGCAGGAATATAATTACTATATGAATATTTCTTAACCAGGCACACAGACAGTAAGTATTACGAGTTAGAGAAAGACTAAAGTATTTTACTTAAGTTCTGTTCTTAAATATGCTGAAGAAGTCTTCCCTCTCTTTGATGTGGAATCCAATCTATTGTTTAATTTAGCAATAACCCAGTTTATCTTATTCACTGATAAATTAGTTTTTGTAAAACTCAATTATGTAATTGTTACTACTATCCTTAGAGAAGTGGTTAAAAGTCAAGAAGATCTATCTTCCAGCACCATCTCAACCATTTACAATGTGTCCTTGGGCAAATGAACTCTTCTAAGCCTATTTCCAAATATGTATTGGTTTAAACCATTTACTACCTACGAAGATTGCAATTTCTTATATTTCAGCCTTATAAAGAAGGATTAACAACATAAACAGTAATTCTTAGATACTGTATTTAAAACATAGCACAATGCCTGGGACACATCAAGTACCCCTTCTACTCTTGAATAAAGTTCTACCTGTTAACCTCATTTTCAACTGGTCTTGATTTACTTGCCCACCCTTATTTTTCTCTACTTTCTATACTTCAGACTGCACTGCTATTTTATTACCAGTATTATCATTTCCCACCCTCATCTATGACTTCTGAAGTCCTATGCATCTTTCAGAACCTAGATCATGCACCAGGAAAGCCTTCCCTGAGTCCCAAGTGAAAACACCCCTCCTTCCATAAACTGACATAACTCTTCAAATACCCCCCTTTTATGGTATCTAACACTCTACATTATGTCAAAATGCATGTCTGTACATTTTTAATCATATCTTCTATAATGCCAGCATAGTAATTTGGAATGGTTTTGAATCTAGAGGCCTCCAACTTTCTTTCGTTATTTTACATAAAGATCTCCTGACTTCATAAACTCAATGAAAATAGATACAAATGAACTCCAGAAGATGCAAGAATGAAATAAAAAAATAAGTACATGGTAGAAATTTAAGAAAATATGGATTTCATACCGGTATTCTGCTCCCCACCCTTTCACGAAACTCATTCTTATGGTGCACATTCTAGTTAGCTGATAAACGGCTTCAAAACCTTGATTAACAGACTGAGCCAGAAGAGCAGCAAATTCCTGGTTGTTGAAGATCTTCAGATTACAGCCTATGATTGAAAAAAGTAAAAGAAACTGTAAAAAGAGTATCATTATTAGAAAATAATTTTAAAAGGGCTACAGATCTTAGAACTCAAGCATGCAAATCATCTCTTGATTCCTAAAATGAGCAACTAAAAAAACTAAGCAAGTTGATGTGATAGATTTATTCACATTGTTGAATCCATACCTGGTGGAATTTTACACACTGTTGCAGGGTGCCAGCCGTATCTCTGATTACAATTGGGGCTCTGCACAAAGATTGCACTATCACTTAGGCACTCAGCAAAAACTTCCCCACCTATGTAATATAAGCGCACTCCTCTTCCTAAAACAAAATACATATGGGATTAGTTTATAACATTTACTATTTCAGTGTGACTTTGGAAGACTCTTCTTGGAGGAATTCTAAAATGATATGAAGAATTTCCATGACCTTTTTGACAGTTATGTTTTTCTGAAGTCTAACTTTGAAATACATCACTATACATTTTTCCAAGTATTTTTTTAAAATGATTTGACTGATTTTTAAAAGAAATATATACTTCTCAAAAATATATAAACAATGTAGAAAAGCACATGGATAGTAAAAGTTTCATACAAATTATATATCACCTTAAAATAAGTAAAAAAAAAAATTGAGTTAATCTGAAGGAATTAACTAGTGTTTGGACAAATATATCTTCACCGTAAGTCTTTCCTTATAGATCCAACTAAAGTTAAGAAAAAAGATAAAAAAAACATTAAGAGGTTGAGTCATTTGCCCTTTTTAAAACTACACAGGAGAGTACTTCCAAAAGTTCGTGGAAAAACAGAATTGAAAGATAATATAAATCTTTTTATGAACTTTTTGAAGACCTCTCGTATTATGGTGGCAACTAAATCTCTTAATACATAAGCAGGATTAGGTAAGAAAAAATTATACTGGGAAATTTTAATATACCTCTTACAGAATTTGAAAAACCAAAAACACACACAAAAAAATTAGATGTAAGGACTGGAAAAAAGCAACTGTGAGAGGCAGGCAGAGTTCTAAGATGGCACCTAACAGTCTCAGCCCTGGTGTGCACACACCTCTATTATTCAGTCAAACACTGGGTGCTACTGTTAATGGATTTTTCAGACATAATTAAGGTAGCAAACCAGCTGACCACAGGAAAGAGCTATGTTCTTTGGCGGTCCTTTAAAATACAGTGATCCTTTAAAAGGGAATGGGCTGTCCTGGGCTCAAGTGATTCACAGCAAGAGCGAGAAGGATCCAACACAAAGAGACATTAGCCATTGCCAAGGGACCACGTGGGAAGGAACATAGCTAGTTTGTGAGAGCAACCTCTAGCTGACAGTCAGCAAGGAAATGAGGATCTCAGTGCTACAACTGCAAGGAACTGAGTTCTGCCACCATCATGTGAGCTTAGATGAGAACACAGCCCAGCTGACCCCTCAACTTTAGGCCCATTTAACCCTGAGAAGAAACCAGCTAACCCATGCCAGGTCTCCTAATCCACAGAAACTGAGATAATAAATTTATGTTGTTTCAGGCTGCTAAGTGTGTGATAATTTGCTACACGGCAAAAGATAACCAATAAAACAACGAACAAGGCAGATTTAATAGCATGCCTGTTAACCCTGTTCTTTTAAGATTATAGAATATTTGTAAAATAATTAGTCACATGCTTGACCACTAGGAAAACACTAAGCCCAAAAAGTAGAGGTTTTTCAGGCTATATTCTCTGATCAAAGCCATCTAATAAACTAGAAATTCAAAAGTAAAAAGATCTAATAATTAATAGCAATCTAAAATCCTGGATGAAAAAGTGAATAAGGCATAGAAAACCTGTTAAATTTTTATGCAGAACCCCAATTAATACACATACAACCCCCCCCCCCAACTATTTTAGTTAAAGTAGGCATGGATATTCAAAGTCCTTCCTTACATACAATGACAGCTGGGTACCTTAACAAGATTGTCCAAATGTATACATGAAACAAGATTTGAGAACTACCCCATGGAGCCAAGAAACTGACCTCCTAGTCACTATCATTTTGCAGTATCAAAATAATTCTTTGGTAATCACCATTATTTCTTACAGACGATGATGATTAATCCAAAGGAAACAGAGGCAAAGTTAACTTGAGGTGACTAGAATGATGTTCAATTATTAGTGACTCCCAAACTTTCTCACCTCACTGTTAAATAATAAACCCATTATAAATTAACATAAATAATAACATTAATAACGATAATATTTATGAAAAACTATTTCCAACATAAAAAAAAATTAGAAGAGTGGCAATGTTTCAAATTTTTTACGTCTCTTTAATGTCTGGCATAACAGAAAAGAGCTAGATTCTTACATCAGATCTACATTTCACCTCTCCAAAATCAAATGTCATGTAGCCTCTGGAATAGTCCAAAATACACTCATGGGAGAATGAGAGAAAAACTAGCAAACAACATCTTGGTACCATTATGAACATAGTCTTGACCTCAAAAACTTGCTGCAAAAACTTGGCTAGAGGTTCCCAGGCCATATTTTGAGATCCTCTGAATTATATTTTGAAGTATATTAAACGGAAGTTCTTGTTTTACGTACCTCAACTCAGATTAATAGTGAGCAGATTTGATTTAATATATGAACACTCACTGAAGGGGAAAAAAAAAATTCAGGAGATATAAACAAACTGAAAAAAATTTGTAAATTTGAAAAAAATGATTTGTAAAAATTGTAACCCCCAAATCTGAACATGACAATTTTAGGACTGGTAGAGACTCAGCAAATTAAAATTTTTTTTTTTTTTGTCTTTTGTCTTTTTCCGTGTCCGGCAACGGATCGCAACCCTCAGTGTTGCCCCCGTACCGGACCAGGGACCGGCAACGGGATTGCAACCCTCGGTGTTGCTCCCGTGCCTCACTCAGCCAGTGAGCGGGAACCGGTCTGTATGTGGGATCCGAACCCTCGGGCGGGAGCGCCACCGCGCTTCCCAAGCGGCGCACTACCCAGTGCGCCACTGGGCCGGCCCAAATTAAAATTATTTTAACACACTTATCTACTGAAAGACTTCCCAGTATCAAGGATGCTAAAATAGTTGAAGATAAGAGTTTGCAGAATGAAGAATCATCAGGATCTATTAAAAGTAGCGAAGCCTGTGCACTTAAACTGACAGATGCTGGGCGATTATTTGCAACAAGCTCTTGATATGGTAAAATAGAACATACCTATATGCCTTCTCGTCATTTCTACCGTAGCATTTCGGTTAACATTGGAGAGTAAACCTAAGCAGAATCTCTCTGAGTTTGATGGATCTGTAAAGCCATCTACAGTGAGTGAGGGCTGTGATGCATGGAAGGTCTCTCCAACCCTCTGATTTAATTCGTAATATGCTATTGAACACCAAAATGCAGGTTCTGAATAAGTAACTGGCTGCAAATCTGAGGGGGGGAAAAACAGGGAGAAATGTTGTGTGAACAACTCAAGCCAAAAACAGATTGAATATCATCATGTTTACATACTCTATGCCAGCCTACACCAGCAACAGCTCAGGAAGTAGACATAACATGTACATCAGTTTCCACAGATAATACGAGATTTTCCCTATTTTTCTTACAGAACTCCAGACTCCATAGATCATACTGGATTTTCAATTTTTCAAATTTCCTCCATCTCATTTAGTCACTTTATGTTGGATTATTTGTTTTCCAGTAGTTTTAGTCTAATTCCATATGCAAAGTAAGTCAACTTGCCACGCTTTGTGCATTTCTAAAATGCATAAGAAAGCTAATTTTGGGTAGGATAAAGTAGAAAAAAGCTGGAGCAAAGATTAGTAAGTTGAAAGCTAAAAGAGGAAAAATTGTCACAATAAAAGGATACAAAATATGACATATTTTTGACATTTGTCTATTTTAACACGCAATTCTTGGTGAGTGACCCTAGTTATAAAAACAGAAAATCTAAGCATTCTTAAGAACTAGAATGTACTAAGACACGAGAGTGTGCAAGCGGAAACAATTTGGAGTCGAGACACTACTTATTTCATGGGAAAACCAAGATCACATGTATTTAACTTCTGTATTTTTAACTAAAATGTATCATAAGGAATATTATGAAAGAAAAAAAACAGACAATTTTGTAGAATAAATTGTGAATGTGGAGAAACTGAAGAGAAATTGTGAAACAGAAAGATAAAATGAGGGCTAAAAATAAATTACAGAAACATACACATGCACACACATATATATGTACACACACATTCACTTCTCATATATATATCATCTATACCACATATACACATTTATGTGATATGCATATGTGAATATATTTATACACATACCTCATTAATAACTCCTACTACTAGACATAAAATAAAACACACCCATGAAAATCTAGCCATAACAGGTTTTAAAATTTCCCATGAATAAAGAATATAATTTCAACAAATAAAAAGATTATTCATTCCTTATGCTCATATGTACAAAGAGAGTAATATTGGGGCGTGATAACAATACCATTTTTAAATAGTACTAACTTAAACCATTTGCATAATTTTATTCATTGGGAACACTTTCTCACATATATGAAAAATAATTTTCAGAAATGACTTTTACTAAGTAGGTGATACAGTATAAAAGCAGTAAGGAGAAGTATCGGCAACTTACCCAAGCTATGATTAACAGGAGAAAGAGTAGTAGGAGACAGTTCTGCTGGAGATCCTAAAACAAAAGGATTAAATTTACAAATAGATGTTTAAGTATTTCCAGAACTTCTAATCAAGTAATAATAAAACTGGTTGTTTCTGTTCGTAATTATCATCAATAGTACACAGATAACTTAAATCCCAAGAATTCAAAATATATAACTGCTTTATTTTAGTTAATATGGGGGGCTTCAATATATAAAAGGCACAAAAGGGTATAAATAGTCCTTCTAGTCACACAATTTCCCTTCCCAAAGGCATCTAATGTTGACAGTCCCTTGTATATCTTTCCAGAAATACTGTATGAAGCGTATAAGCAAACATATTTCTGTTCTGTGCCCCTACCCCATCACATACAAATGGTGAAACAGTTCTGAACTTCTATATTACAGACGACCCTGGAATACCGAGGGGCCTGGAAGTGCCTACCTCTTGAGCAGCTGAAAATCTGCCTGTAACTTTCCCCCCACACTGTTCCTTAAGTAGTTAAGCAACTTAACCAGTTAAGTATTTAATTAGTTAAGAACTAATAGAACCCATGCTTATGAAAAGTCAGCCCTTTGTTTATGCAAGTTCAACACCTGTTGTTCAAGGGTCTACTGTACTTATTCTATCAGAGACTGTTTATGTTAATATGTTTCCTTATTATTTACTTGTATATCTACCTATCTGCCTATCACTTAGCTGCATAATATTACATTATGGTACATTATGATCCCACATTAGTGCACAGTCAGGCTATTTTTGCTCTCTTGATTTAAGAAACAAGACTGCAACAACTAATCTTGCACATTTTGCATACTTCCAATCATGTCTGAACAGACTCTTAAAAGAAACTGCGAGGTCAAAGGGTCCGTGCATTTGCAATTTTGATGGATTTTGCTAAAATTATCACTCAGAGGTTGTACAAATTACATTCCCAGTAACAATATAAATGGTATGGAGATGTCCATGGTGTGACTGTTGACAGGTAAAAACACGATCTCCACAAGTATAGTTTTAATCTGCATTTCTCTTACAAATGCCACTGAGCAGCTTCACACTTGTTCACACTGTATTTGCTTTCTGTGAATAGTCTGTTCTGTTCTTTTGCTCATTTTTCTATTCTGGTGTTGATTGCTTTTCATACTGATTTGTAGAAGACTTTTATGTATTAGGGGTACTAGTCCTTTCACAGTATGTGTTGCAAATATTTGGTCATCTGTTTTGTGACTCTTAATCCTAATTTTGATCATGCAGCATGATTTAATTAATCATTTCGGGGTTTCTGTCACACTTTGATAAAACAGTGGTGACAATGGATATTCTTGTTTTACTCTTGACTTTAAGGTAATGCTTCTAGTATTTTCCCATTAAGCACAATACTGGCTTTGAAACTGGGAGATAAAATTACTTATTTAGGATTTTTACATGGGTAGTCTCAAGCAATACTAGCCTGTAGACTTACGTGTGTTCTGTGATTACTGTTATGACAATCTAGAATTTTTGTTTTTTTCTACACTCTGTTAAAGTTTAAGCAGTACTATAATAGCAAATTCTTTAAAAGTTTGGTAGAATTTTCCTGTAAAATTATTTGCAGTTAATAACTTTCTAGGGATTATGCTGAGACATTTCTCTATCTCTTCTACGAAAATTGACTTGTTAAGATAACTTTTTTGGAGTCAGTTTTGATAAATTATATTTTCCTAGAAAATTATCTAATTCTTCCCATTTTAGGTAAACAGGCTAAATATAATCAAGAAAATAAGGGGGCACAAATACACAAAATAATAACAAAACATCACAGACAATAGGAAAAAGGTCATTAAGAGACTACTTTGCTCAATTCCATGCAACTAAATTTTTAAAACTTTTTTCAACTGTCCATTTTTATGGGGTGGTTTGTTGTTTCAATACATGCATACATACTTATGACATCGTTAAACAATCTTATTCTAAATATAGGATACATTGTTTTATAATTCTCTACACATTTAGGGAAATTTTTTTAAAAGAACACATGTCCTACAGCTTCCAAGCTTCAAATGTACACATATGGCAGAGATGTAGAATAAGTCAGACTTTCTTATGTCCCCCTCACCACTACCATGCACCACTATAACTATGTCATATAATACCACACAACAAAGGTGAAATGGCAGCCCTCAGATAAACAGATGAATCAGAAAGAGAGAACAGATGATGACGATTTTGTTAGAGGACAGAAGAGTCTTCCACTACACAAGTAAGTTATGTTCTTTTTTTGTCCCTCAGTTTGAAAATTAGTTGGCAAGTCACAACAGGTACAACTGAGAAAGGTCAAAATATATTTAGAACAATGAACTAAAATTTACTGTTTCCTGAAGCAGATATTAAATAAACAAAGCCACTATTAGAAATGGAGGAAACTGTGCAATTATTCATATCTTTTAACTATTTATTCCTCTAATAAATACTTATCAGAAGTGACCAGTATGGTCACAGTTCATTAATTTCAGTCAGATATGACAAAATTTAGAATTATAGATTATAAAAAGAAAGATTCATTATAAAATTTTAAAAATTTAAATTAAGCTAATAATTTATTGGGGAACAGAACTTTTAGAAAACATTTTTTAAAAACAGAGGCAAGGAACTGATAATTAACCTAAGAATTATTCATATATAAATGCTGCTACTTTGGGCTGGCCTGAGGCTCACTTGAGAAAGTGTGGTACTGATAACACCAAGGCAACAGGTTTGGATCCTGATATAAGGATGGCCAGTTGGCTCACTTGGGAGAGCGTGGTGATGACAACATAAAGTCAAGGGTTAAGATCCCCTTACCAGTCATCTTTTTAAAAAAAAATTAAAAATTAAATTAAATTTAATTAATTAATTAATTAATGCTGCTACTGAAGTCTGGCCTACCATAGGCTTTCCAGCTATGAGAGGTAATAAATATCCTCACTATTTCAGCCAGTTTGAATCAGTAGTGTCTGTTACTTGCAGCTAAAACATCTAGAGAAATCTTTGTGCTGTGTATTTGCATATCAGTTCACACATATTTGGAGGATACATTTTTCAAAGAGGAAATGTTGAATAAAAAGGAATATGAATGTTAAATTTTTATAAATACATATGAAAGTACCTTCCCAAAATGTTTAGTTTCACCAAGAATTTATAAGCGAGTATTTTTTCATACCATGTCACTACATGTTAACATCTGCTAATTTAATAGGTTTAAAGGGGGTAACTTTTTATTTATTATAGTGCATTAATCTCCTTTTTGACTATTTTTCTATTAACTGCTGTCTTTTTCCTTTTGATTTGCAAGTTTTTTAATTTACAGATCAGTTTTTGAACTTGTCATCCATTTACAAATATTTACCCCAGTTTTTTTAAAAATATGTTTTGATACAGATTTTAAGGTGACATTAAAATCTTTTTAAAACTTCTTTCAAAAATAGGCTTTATTTTTTAGAGTAGTTTCTGGTTCACAACAAAACTGAGCTTTTATAAAGTACAAAGAGTTCCTATACATCCCTGCCTCCTCCCAGCCTCCCCCACCATCAACACCCCCACACCATAACAGTACATTTGTTACAGTCAACGAAATTACACCGACACATCATTATCATCAAAAGTCCATGGTTTACGTTAGGGCTCACACTCAGTGTTATACATTCTATGGGTTTTGATAAATGTATAATGATACATTATCCACCATTCCATTTGGAGTATCTTATAGAATAGTTTCACTGCCCTAAAAATGCCCTGTGTTCCACCTACTCATCCCTCCCTCTCTCATAACCCCTAGCAACTACTGATCTTTTTACTGTCTCCATAGTTTTGCCTTTTCCAAAATGTCAAATAGTTGGAATTGCACAGTATCGGCCTCTTCAGATTAGCTTCTTTCATTACTAAGTTTATCTATCCATTCACCTATTATGGATATCTTGGTTGCTTCCAAGTTTTGGCAATTATGAATAAAGTTGCTGGAAACAACCATGTGCGGGTTTTTGTGTGGATGATTTCAATTCATTTGCATAAATACCAAGAAGCAAGACTTAAAAGGTAAGAGCACGGTTAGTTTTGTACGAAATCGCCAAACTGACTTCCAAAGTGGCTGTACCATTTTGCATTCACACCAGCAATGAATGAGAGCCCCTATCATTCCCCATCCTAACCAGCACTTCGTGATGGCAGTGTTGTGAATTTTGCCATTCTAATATGTGTGTAATGATACATCACTGTGGTTTTAATTTACTTTGATTCTTTTTTCTATCTTTTGTGTATACACTATAGGTTTTTGTTTTGTGGTTACCATGAGCCTTATGTAAAACATCTCACAGTTTTAATAGTCTATTTTAAGCTGATAACAACTTTGATTGCATTCAAAAATTCTTTTACTTTCCACCCTGTTCTGTTTTTCATGTCACAATTTACATGTTTTTATATCGTGTATCTCAAATTATTGTAGCTATAGTTATTTTTAATAGTTTTTTCTCCTTTAACCTTCATGCTAGAGATAAGTGATTTACACACCACCACTACAGTATTAGAGAACGAGGGCACTTCAAAAAGTTTGTGGAAAAACAGAATTAAAAGATAGTACAAATTTTTCCATGAACTTTTAAAAGTATATTATTCTAAATCTCACTATGTATCTACCTTTATTAGTGATTTTTATACTTTCATAGGCTTTCGTATTAGTAATTAGCATCCTTTTGTTTCTGCTTTAAAAACTCCCTTTACCATTTCTTTGCAGGCAAGTCCAGTGGTAATGAACTCCCTCAGCTTTTGTTTGTCAGAGAAATTCTATTTCTCCTTCATTTGTGAAGGACAGCTTTGCCAGACTGTGTTCTTTGCAGACAGGTTCTTTTCATCCCATTCTCTCCTGCCCTGCAAGGTTTCTGCTGAGAAACCCACTGACAGTGTAATAAGAGTTATCTTATATATGACATGCTGCTTTTCTCTTGCTGCTTTTATTCACAATAGCCAAGATATGGAAACAACCTACATGTCCCACTGACAGATGAATAAAGGAACAGTGGT